AAAAATATACTTCACATCTATTCTAGGAAAGTAGTGCACAGCAATGGGTTAGATAGAATAATACCAAAGATACACCTGTCTTATTATACAAAATATCCTTATTAAAATAACGTGACCATCTGCAGACCAAACCGCAGCTGCATCTCATACACATCCGAAAGAGCTCCGATTAGGATTTCTGACAGACCAGCTATCGTCAAACACAAATCTCCAATTTAAAAATCTGTCCCTGTCAGTTGAACAGATCTCTATACAATAATGCAAACTGAAGGAGGACTGGAGAGGTGCCCTGTATTGCTCTGATCAGTCCTTGACTCTTAAATTCTGAGGTCGAGGTAAAGGTGGCGACTCAGGATTCAGCAGGCAGTTGAACCAGATTTGCATCTACACCTTCCTAAAACGGCTGGTGCACTTTTTATTTTATTTTTGGCACTTGCAGTTAAATTCTTCAGATCCATCACCTCCTCACCAATGGCTGATTTGTCCCAATCGGCCATAAATGATTGTTCAAACACAATTACAGGCAAATTCCTAAAAGCTGGCATACGATCCAGCTCACTGCAGCTGGAACTGCTGATTGAATGATGTTGAAAAGCACCTTTGAAAAGTCTAACTGCTCTAACAGATACTTCTACTTAACCTGGCATAAGATCGAAGGAATCTTGGAAATGTATTTGACATCTTAACATCGTATTTCAGATTAATTGATTATAATGTTTTTGGACACACTGCACCGCAAACAAGGTGTTGAATGCAGTGTGATCACATCTCTGTGGATAATGAAAACAACTGCAGAGACAACGAGTAAACCATCTTTAAGAAGAGCCCGTTGAAAAGCTTTCCATACAGGCCCCACTATACAGTCCCCGTTCATAATGTGCACAGCTAACCTAGTAGTTATGAACCCAAACACACTTTTCATTCTCAAGATGTTAGTATTAAATACAAGGCGTGGCTAATATTTTCCCTTAAAAAACAAAACAAAAGTCAAACTATGTCAAGGCAGTCAAACAGAAGAAAATACAGTACAAAATACTACATCACTGATTGCAAATAACACCAGCAGGAGTCAAGGAGAACGTGTCACTTAGTCAGAGAAGACCTCATTTGTCAGATATGCACGTCAAGTCAGTAAAATCTCCCTACTATTCCTCAGTCACTGTGTGCAAACTGAACAGCTTCAAGCCGACGTTCATACAGTGGCGACAGCAGCTGACGGCTGCCGAAATAACTCACTCATAACTCAGTCATTGTCTGTGTGCTTGTGCAGTGATCAGGTCTGACGGCAAGACCTGGCAGTCAGTCACCTGGGAATAAGCGGGGTTGGGCGGGCGGTCACATGCAGTTGGCCACGTTGCTGGAGCCCTGGCCGACGTCCCTGATCTGGCTGACGTGTGACGAACAGACAGCCACTCCGGCTCCGGCGCGGCAGTGAGACACCGAACCCACCAGCTCCCATCTGAGCAGCAAACACATACAAGTCAAAACATAGGAAGAGAAGGAGGACGCGGTAGAAGTACTAAACAATACAATTTGAGCAAGTAACTGCATAATAAAAATGATTTCAATTAGAGCAATTACTCAAGTATGTAACAGGTTGAGCCTTGTTTCAGCAGGTAAGTCACACAAGCTTCAAATGTAGACTTCTGCCATTACATTTCATCCAGATTTGAGAATCTTTATTGAGCGTTGTGTTGCCAATACGGCTTAATGATACTGAAAAAAATTCGCCATTATTTTGACTGACACTGCAATTTTTGCAGGGATCTGTACCAAACAAGTCTGTAGAGTATGACGTGTAGGCTACGACATCTCTGCAGCACGACAATATTTAATTTAAAATAGTTTATAGTATTTTTTACACACCTAACAAATATTGAACCTCCTGCGATTTGAAAACTGCAGTAGGCCATTCGCAATTTCAAAAAGATTTTGATTATTGTTCAGCCCTAGTTGCCAACGGGGGAATGTTTATTCAATTTGCTTGTGTTTTCATATAAATCATCTAACAAGAATTGAAGGCACGGTGTTGTTAATCTCAGCTCTTAAATTATTGCCAAAACACAGAGATCCCTTGTCCCTTATTAACTCATCCCAAATCCCACCTCAATACCTTAGAAACACATCACATCACGCAGCCCTCATTCATCTCCTGCTCACCTGTTCATTCGTGGCTCAAAAGCTTCCACAGTGTTCAAGTAGATATTCCCATTGTGACCCCCGACCGCGAACACTCTTCCCATTACAGTGGCTACCCCGACTCCCCCACGTGGGGTGGTCAGCTCAGACACGTACTCCCAGCGGTGCATTCTTGGGTCAAAGCGCTCTACAGAGCTCAGGGGTGAGTTGTCATCAAAACCGCCTTTAGGAAAGACGAGAGACACTTATTCAAAAAACGAAAGTACCTCCTACGATTCTTAGGTGCCTTTGTGAAAAAAGCTCAAGGGACAAACATGAAACTGGCATGTAACCTGGCAGACAACACGCTTAGGTGTAATGATTGCAAACGCTCATTTGCTTTATGTAGGATTATGCTGTTACTAATGTAACAGACAACATTAATGATTTCATGCATCCATACTAAGCACTTACACAGCTATTGACAAGGCAAAATGCCACAAGACATTTTAATGAACCCTGAGTGACTGACTTGTGTATAAAATTGTAGGAGGCACGTGACCTGGGTGTATCAAAAAAAATGCAAATGCAGACAAAATTCTGTACTCAAATCAACAATATTCAAGTGATCAGATCTGAAGTGTTCTTTGTTCAGTTATTCCTCTCACCCACTACATAGAGGCAGCCATTGAGTTTGCTGACTCCATTTCCAGCTCGTCGCTGGCCCATCTCGCTGACCTCTATCCACTTGTTGAGGTGTGGGTTAAACCGCTCCACACTAGACAGCGACGCCACCCCATCGTTCCCTCCCACTGCGTATACAAAACTCTGGCAAGGAGAGGGTATAGAGCAGTGAAGTCCACAGTAGAGATCACATATCAGTCACAATCAACTGGCTTTCCTCCACAGTGTTACCCCCAATGCCACGGATCCCACTCCTCCTCTGGGCGTGTTCATCGGCGCCACAGCGCTCCAGCAGTCACTTTCGATGTCGTAACGCTCCACATCGTTGAAGCAGGAGTTGTCATCCAGACCTCCAATAGCATAGATAGGACCACCAAGCGCTGCCAAGGCTATACCCCTCCTGAGAAACACATACATCCTTGTTCAAAGCAGTATTTTTGCTGTTTACCCAATACTTTAAGCATAGCAAAAGCATACAGCAGATAGTAAAAGGTACACCAGACGAAATGCATGTTAAGGTATCAATCAGGCCTGCTCCTGAGCATGTAAGGGCTGAAAAGAGGACCAATTTTTAAGTCAATACTAAAACTTAGAAACAAAAAAAAAATTTCTAAGGCAATACGGAAATCAAAATTTAGCATCAACAGAAACACAAATCAATCAAATAACTGTGTGTCTGTGTACCTCTTGGTGTTCATGGAGGCTTTCATCATCCACTTGTTGGTGAGGGGGTCAAACATCTCCATGTTGCCCAAGTGCTCGTTACCATCATGGCCCCCAACAGCATAAACCTTGCCTAAGGAAAGCAACGTCAAACAGATATGACGTTGACTGCAGTACTTTTTTACAAAGATACACGTTTTCATTTGCTATGTTGCAATACTCTATTATACTGTACACTTTTTAAGTGATCTGTGATCCAAATATTTCATTTTCTAAATTATATTCAAAATTCAAATATTAGAAAAAAGCTGTATAATGCAAAACAGATTAACACCACAACCCACATAATCTACATGGGTCAGTTGAACCAATTCGTCTCTAAAACAGTTTCAAATAATCTGAACATTATAACCTTCATGAGAGCAAAATTTATTACAGAACTGTTGTATTAGACTGCATTCGTTTTAGCTAGGCCTACCTAATAAACTGACTACTGACTGTATAATATATAAAGTTTCCCTGAGCTCTTCTAAACACAAATGCTCATCTTTCCACACCCCATCTTTTACTGTCTATAGTGTTATTATATATGTAACCCTTCTTACCTCCTACAGATATTACACCCACGTGACGCCGTCTGCTGTTCATTTCAGGACCAAAGAACCAGCTGTTCTTAGTGATGGAGTAGCACTCAATACTGCGAAATGGGTCACCAGAACCCCCACGGCCACCCACACAGAACAAAACCCCTGAAGAAGTGTCAGGAAAGAACCAAACGTTAGCACAGTGAGAGAACACATGTCACACTTAAGCCTACAGATGAAACACGAAACTATATATCTACATGACAAAGCAGTTATTACAATTTTTATAACTTTGCTTATGTTATGAAGACGAGACTAAGCATATAACAAACATGAAAACCTAGAAAGTCATTTGGTTTTCATGAATGTAGCTGTGTATTTTTTAGGATGATGAGGAAACATGCTGAATGTTAGTAAAAAATGCCCTAAAATCACTAGTAAGTACTACCTGCAGTGTGTTTCCTGGGTATTGTACGGACTGAGTACTCAAAGTCCAGCACCACCTTGTTGCTGAGGTGCAGGTGGTAGTTCCTGGCTTCGTCCATCAGGTCGCGACAACTCAGGTTACCTTTGATCATCTCATCCTTAGCTACTGTTCCAGTCAGGAACTCTACAGGCAGCAGGGGGAGGCGCACCTGTAGGAGAGACCATACACGTTGTGTTGTGGTTGTGTAAGTGATTACATAAAGCTGTGAACATATGTGTAACACTGACACTAATTTCACTCACAGTTATGTAGTTTAACCTTCAGGTAATCAGCGTAATAGGTCATAAAAGTCTTAACTTCACTAGAACACATACTGAAGCTACTTCCAGTCATGAAACTTTAGGAGATATTAAATTCAGGAAGATAGACCCTTCTCATTGAAGCTATGCACTCTCTAACCTGAGACATGATCTGGTCCAGCCAGGCCTCGTGGTGCTGTGGGTTTGCTTTCAGCCATTTCACTGCTGCATTGTACACCTGTGTCTCTGAGTGGATATTGAGCTCACTGGAGGACAATAATGTGCGTAAGTGCTGGGGAGACACGCATGTAAAGTCCTCACACTCCACTACCTCGGTGAAGTGCTCGCAGGCATAGCGGTCGGCCATATCCATCAGGTCCACACGATTGTGGCTCTCGGCAAAGGTACGAACTGCCAGGCAGTTGGTGGGGTGGAAGTGGGCCTTCATGTACTCACAGCAGGCTCTTGCCACCAACTCCACCTAACAGATTGAGGCAGTAATAAGGCAATGTTGCAGATTATCTCAATGCATTACATAATTACATTCTGTTCTGTGTAAAAATTGTCATTTTAAATTGATAAATAAGAGTTTGAGCATCACTACACTTCAAAATTCAGAACCCACTTAGTTCATGTAAACTAAGGAGAACAAAGCGCCTGCACAACTTGTTGACTGATTGTACTTGTGTGTCTTTACCTGAAGGATGCAGGCAGCATAAAGCAGTGGCTGGACATTGTCCACAGTTAATGTGAGTTTGGAGGAGTAGGCAAAATGCACCAGGTCCTGGATGGCATCACCATCAAAGTCCTTGATCTCTATCAGTTCCTGCTTGGCCTCGGACATCTCTGACAGGAACATGGCCCTGAGGGAAGAAAGAGCAACTTACACAAGAACAAGATGTAACACCTTCCACAAAGCTTTGTGTTCTGCAAACATAAAATAAATTTTGTCTTTGAGTCCTTAAGGGACTACGCCACTGGTTTCTGTTCATTAAGTATGGAGGCCCAGAGAGTACACTTCCACCCCAACTGACAATTGATTAGGGCAGTCAATCACTATATTTTAGTTGACATTTTATGTTTTTTGTTATTTTGTGCTAGTACTGTCTTCTCTCTTTTAACAAAAATAACATGTGCTATCATGCCCAACTATTGTGCAGGCCTATCGTATGTAATGTATCTATCTAAGCATCTTCATACAAATGATCTAAACAGAAATGACAAAATTCTGTGTTTGATTTTTTCATGACATTGGAACCTTGTGTTCAGGCTCAAGACAGGCTTCATTTCTGTATGTTTAGTCAGAGCAAAAGGTGTATCTGGGATATTATATTTGGCTTTTAGAAAACAAGCTAGAGACTAGTGTGATTGATTAAATCATTAAGAGATTAAGAAAAAAACCCTCTTATCTGTTGGTGCTGTACTGAAAAATTGCTATATAGGTCTTCCTCAAAAAATAAAACAACAAATGTACCTGAAGTAAGGGATCACACAAGCCAGCACTAGCTTGTGGCATGGTATCAACCTACTGCCAACCTACAAAAAGAGACAAACACAAAATACATGTTTGAAAAAACAGGCAACAAAGCACACCTACATACAGTATCAATAAGCTCACTGCTTATTAATTTATTTATGAACCGGACATGACTGAAAAATCAACAAAAGATCAGTGGAGGCAATCAAATCTAGTCAAATCTCGTTACTTGAGTCTGGACAGGGTGACCTACCTTCAGCGTGACGTCACAGAGCTCTCCTACTTCGTAGAAATGCCTGAGGGAGTTATGAAAGTCCTTCCAAGCCTCATGAGCCTCGAAGACAAAGGACCCATCAGGCTCGCAGTCTGCTTTTGAAGCCTTGTTTCCAGGCCGCTTCTCCTTGGACTTCAGCTGCTTGGCATGGTCTGGCACCACATCCCCTGGTGCCATAGCTGCCTACAGGAAACAACACCTAAAAGACAGATTAGAGGAATTTTACATTGAAGCACGAAGAATTGCTTACAGAATACATCTGGAACCATATAAAGACAGCGGCAGATATGGGTAGGTATTATGGAACAAAATAATATTACAATAAATATCACAGCATGATCTCCATATTGAAAATTTGGTGCCATATTAATTTACTGCCATATCATACGGTAGAAAGTTACACACATGTTCATCCTATTAAGTCAAATGTTCAAAAGAACACATGCACTCAAGTATTTAGGATCTCAGTCACCAACAGACTTTGTTCATATTAAACTACTGGTAACTTACTTTTTATTTCTTAATATTTTACACTGTGCTGTAAGATTTACTGCCCTGTTTTTGGGGTAAGATGTTTCTAGAATCAAATATTACTTGCTTCTGAAACTCAGTTGGTTTCTCCTCTCTCCTTCATAAGTACTGAGACCAAGTCTTCACACGGCCGAGCAGAATCTCTAGTATAGTTCTCTGCTGTCTGGGTCGAAGTGTGTCCGGGCAGAGCCAAGTGGGCTGAACGTTTTTTCTCGACTGTTTTGACTGCCTTCAGGTGGCTGAGTAGAATTAAGCTCTCTCCGCTGTTTTGACTGTTTTTACCAAGATTGTAGCGCAAAGAATCTGGATTCACGTTGACGATGCTGAATTAGAGGAAATAAATATCTTACAAGGTTTGACCAAAGATGGGAAATCCAAAAAGCAACAACGGAAGTTAAAAAGCCTGATTATGTAATGTAATGTAACCCATTAGAATTATGGGTGAACAAACAGGTTTACCGGGTAAATTAACCTGTTTATATTTTCTATTTGACTCTTGTAATTGTATTTAGATGTCTTTTTTATATTTCCCTATTTTATTTTTATGTTTTATGTAAAGCACTTTGAATAGCCTTGTTGCTGAAATGCGCAATACAAAAACTTGCCTTGTATATTTAACTAAAATTCTTGCAACTAGTGGTGGAACAATTATTTTAGATTGTTGACTCACCATTTCAGTCTTTTTGTTTTAGAAGCCAAAATTCATTCAATCATTCCCTGGTTCCGAACATCTCATATGTGAAGACACGTCTCCTTTCTCGGTTGTTAATTGGATATTGTTCGGTTTCACGACGTCTTCAATTTTGTGAACTTGTGATTGGCAGTTCTCAATATTCTCTGACATTTCATCATCTAAAAAGAAATAACTGAGGATTTGGGAAAAAATAGACAGATAGAAAAGATGTACTGACAATAAAAAAATTGTTGCAGCCCTGTTTAACCCAGTACCATTATGAGGAGAGGCTGCAAATAGTAAATATTAGAATAAACTGAATGAGCCGATCATTAGCTATAATAAAGTCAAATTATCACTGCCATTGACTGTAGCATGTAAGAAAAACTTGACTTGAATGGAGGAAACAAAAGGGAAATTGGTGTTGGAGGACATCGCCTGCCAGCTGAGCAACTTTGATCACTATTCCTCTCCTTTTCAGCGTCACTTACCCTTTAGCCTACTCGTTCAGCAGAGATTGGAGCCAAATGTGGAAGAAAAAAGGAAAAACAGGACAAGCAGATACCTCCAAGCTAAAATGGCACACCACGAAGAAAAACCAGTGCAATCAAACCCATAAAAATTCCTACCTATTGGTGAATCTGATGAAAAATCTTCACAGCTGATGTCAGAGAGAAAGCAGACAGCCAGAGGATAAAGCTCCACCCACACCTTACAGATGATGCAGAGTCTCTTTTAAGCTATGTCTCTGTCACTGAATAGACTCAGTGTATCGCCCCCTCATCGCTAGTCCTCTCAGCTATAAGAGCAGAAACATCAAGTCCCATCACATGCACTAATGATCAAAGGCTCTCTCGACTTCTGTTCTACTTTTTATTGGCTCGTGGATAGGCTTCCTCTTTGGAAATGGTCTGATTACTCAACACATGCAGGGACTTTGTAATATCCACTTAATTCAAGACAGATTCAGGATCCGCTGGAACGCTTTCATGGCCTAAAGATTATAGCATCACCATGTTGTATTATTTATGACGAGTGCGTTAGTCAATAATTTAACGACAGAGATGTATTGCACAACTACTCCACTCCACCCAGTACAAACTGAAAAACAATTTGTGCAGACAGCAACCTCTTGCTAAATTCATACATATTTTTTCTATGCATCTATGTCCACCATACAAAAGGAGTCTCACAAAAGCAACCAGCATACCACTATACCATCAGGTACAAAAGAAACACAGAAGAAGAGTGTGCACTCATGAAACCTACTGTTGTCATGTCAAATTACTTCACCCACTCATCTAAGAACACACCACAGCTACACTAGTAGGTAAATGCTTTGTCGCCATGGTCTCTCTAAGATCAGAGTATTATGACAGTAGAGTTATGAACATACTAATGAGCATCCTGTACATTTAATTACTATATTTCCCTCACCACCTTTTAAGAGATTAAGTATGTGGCAGAATGCAATAAAAGAGTGGTACATTTCAAGGAGACTATTTGTTTTATCGTCAGCTGGAAGCATTTCACATTTATTTCACCTTTAGACCAATCATGTAATGTATTTTTCTGTGCGCTTTTAAAAATATTTCATCTATCCTAAGCTATCAAATCACACAGGCATCTTAAAGAATGGTTTTGTACCCATCTATATATACACATATGTACTGACAGACACTGCTTGCTGTCTAAAAAGTAACATTAGTGTATTGCACAAGTCTAATCTTTGGTCCTCCTTTACCAAACTAGCCCTTGTAGCTCTATTGTGTACCAAATATAAATTGAATTAAAGTACTTTTTTGGAGGCTTTAACAGGTAACTCCTAGACAACATAACACAAAGAGGGGATATGAGGGATGCAAATATTTGAGATAAGACACCAGCTCTACTGCTACTAAGCTGTTTGATGTAAACGACAGTTGGCACCTGCAGATGTTACCTGAACTTATATTTTATGTGTCTCTAATATTTGGGTACGACACCAAAACATACTCTTATTTATCACAGCTACGTTAGCACATAATATCGGGCATGACAGATAAGAAAAGCTGAAATACAATCGTCAACATCAAACACACGTCAAGAGTTTATGAACATGAGCTCGGGTTATCATGGGGATAACGTTAACGCAACGTTATGGAAACTTTAGTTAATGTTGCCGCATTCCATTTTAACATCGTATTTCTAACGTTACACCACGTTAAACCAGCTAAACAAAACGACACTGCTCTAAAGAAGATGATGAAGCTATCTAGCGTAATTTACTTGCTTAATTGTTAGCTTGGTTGCTAGTAACAGTAACTACCAGGCAGACTAGCATCCGTGCGAGAGCTAATGTTAGCTGACAGGGAACGGAACGGATTTAACCAGGAATTTAGAGAAAATACTAAACGCAGAATGGCATACATCCCTGTAAAACATTAGGTAATTGTTGTGTTATGTCAACAATATTAAATTTAGTTACCTCATGTCGCAACAGGAATTAAGATGCCGGCTTCATTGAGAGGAATGTTTGGTATTAGCACGTTTGTTGTGATTCCAGGCGCTTCATGGGTATTGTAGTTTTTACGCATTACCTGAACTACAGCCAAACGTCACTAGTTAAAAGCGGACAGTTTCTTTCCAGTCACTTTTTTAGTTCTGAAGCTGATCAGTGCGACAGCTTCACTTGTCTTATTTTGTCTTCTGCCTCACTGAACAGAAGTTCTAGCAAATAACACGGACATGTTCAAAATAAAGCACTAGGGTATGTAATGTGCAAAGTAAGGAAATGTTAAACTGTAAAATTAGGGCCCGAGCACGACCGTGCGAGGTCCCTATTGAAATTGCTCGGATTATATTTTTAGGGCCCGAGCACGACCGTGCGAGGTCCCTATTGAATTTGCTCGGATTATTTTTTTTTTTTTTTTTTTTTTTTTTTTTTTTTTTTTTTTTTTCTGCAAAGTAGGCCCAAATGACATGGCCTAAACATACTCAAAAACTCACCAAAATTTGCAAACATGTCAGAACCGGTGAAAAATTTCGTATTCTACAAGTTTCGCACATGGGCGTTGCAAAATGACTCACTAGCGCCACCTAGAAAATTGGAAAAAATTAGCCCCTCGTTCACGTTCAACCTACATCTACGAAATTTTCTGGGGACATGTATCATGTCAAGACGCACAAAAAAGCCTCAAGAACCCATAGCCTAAAGTCAACAGGAAGTCGGCCATTTTGAATTTTATGGCCATTTTTGGATGATTTACACACTTCGTACTTTAACGAACTCCTCCTAGGGATTTAGTCGGATCGACGTCAAATTTCTGCTGTGCCTTCTAAAGGCATTGACGATGAAAAGTTGTGCTATTTGCGAGTTTTCGTCAATGGGCGTGTCCGTGGCGTCGATGATTCGCTATGAAACAGGAAGTTGTTGTAACTTCAGTGTACATGCTCACATCTGGACCAAACTGTACATGTAGGATGAGAGTCCCGCCCTGAACACATGTACATGCCGACATTCACCCACAGTCATAGCGCCACCTGCTGGCAATAGAAAGTGACCTTTAACGAAGCAGCCCCCGCCGCACGTTTCACCTACGTGCACGAATTTTCTGTGGTACGTGTATCTTGTCCAGACGCACAAAAAAGTCTCTTGGAGCCATAGCCTAAACCCAACACGAAGTCGGCCATTTTGAATTTTACGTCAAATTTTGGATGATTTACACACTTCGTACTTTAACGAACTCCTCCTAGGGATTTAGTCCGACCGACCTCAAATTTGTGCTGTGCCTTCTAAAGGCATTGAAGATGAAAAGTTGTGCTATTTGCAAGTTTTCGTCAATGGGCGTGTCCGTGGCGTAGCGTCAAAGATCAACTCTTCGCCATGACACGGAAGTTGTCGTAGCTTCAGTGTACATGCTCACATCTGGACCAAACTGTACATGTAGGATGAGAGTCCCACCCTGAACACATGTACATGCTGATATTCACCCACAGTCATAGCGCCACCTGCTGGCAACAGGAAGTGACTTTTAACGAAGCAGCCCCCGCCGCACGTTTACCTACGTGCACGAATTTTCTGTGGTACGTGTATCTTGTCCAGACACACAAAAAAGCCTCTTGGAGCGATGCCCTAAAATCAACAGGAAGTCGGCCATTTTGAATTTTACGTCAAATTTTGGATGATTTACACACTTCGTACTTTAACGAACTCCTCCTAGGGATTTAGTCCGACCGACCTCAAATTTGTGCTGTGCCTTCTAAAGGCATTGAAGATGAAAAGTTGTGCTATTTGCAAGTTTTCGTCAATGGGCGTGTCCGTGGCGTGGCGTCAAAGATCAACTCTTCGCCATGACACGGAAGTTGTCGTAACTTCAGTGTACATGCTCACATCTGGACCAAACTGTACATGTAGGATGAGAGTCCCGCCCTGAACACATGTACATGCTGACATTCACAGACAGTCATAGCGCCACCTGCTGGCAACAGGAAGTGACTTTTAACGAAGCAGCCCCCGCCGCACGTTTTACCTACGTGCACGAATTTTCTGTGGTACGTGTATCTTGTCCAGACGCACAAAAAAGCCTCTTGGAGCGATGCCCTAAAATCAACAGGAAGTCGGCCATTTTGAATTTTACGTCAAATTTGGATGATTTACACACTTCGTACTTTAACGAACTCCTCCTAGGGATTTAGTCCGACCGACTTCAAATTTGTGCTGTGCCTTCTAAAGGCATTGAAGATGAAAAGTTGTGCTATTTGCGAGTTTTCGTCAATGGGTGTGTCCGTGGCGTGGCGTCAGAGATCAAGTCTTCGCCATGACACAGGAAGTTGTTGTAACTTCAGTGTACATGCTCACATCTGAACCAAACTTTACGTGCTTGATAACTCTCCCACCCCGTTATGGAGGACCGATCCTGACACAGCCAGAAATAAATACAGAAATAAATAAATGCTCAATAAATAAATAAGCATCCAATTAAATACACAAAAAAATAAAGTAAATAAATAAATGTAGGTAGTAATTAAATTATACAAGGAGACATAAATGTTATATTTTAATTAGTGCCTTTACTTATTCCCTTTGTTATAATTACCTTATTTGTTTATTCAACTTTATTTATTACTAATTTTTTTAATGTATTTATTTATGTGTGTGTTTTAATATTTTTGTCTGTTTTATTCTTCCTTTGTATTTATTTACCGTATTTATTTCTGCCTGTCTTTTTTAAATTTTTGTATGCATTTCTGCCTCATTATGCAAATGAGGAGGGGCTGTGTCTCAAGGGGTCATCTTCTCTGCTATTGGTGGACCAGTCAGACTGGAGAGCTCCTACTCTGCCTGCAGACATCAACGATCTTGCCCCTCACACAGTCAGATGGCTTCCTTCAGTGCGCTGAGGTGTTTAACAACTCTGAAGACAATACTACCAGCAATGTCTTCCTTCTCTTTTCACGTAGATGCTCCGACAGACAGTGCTTTCAGTTTGCTGCATGCATGGACACAGAACTGCGGTATAGGGAGAAGCACACGGTCAGCTGGCTGCAGCTAAATCTGGAGTGCACTCGTATTCAATTCTGTATGGTAAATTCAGTTTTAACGGAGCAGAGCGAGCTGACAGGCAGAGTTAGAGACTTTTTCTGTCCGTTTCTCTCTTTACAAAGACGCATGTTGCAGTCAGAGTCTTCTGAAGAGGGCAATGAAGTCTCAGTAGTACCGATGCGAGCACCATACAACACAATTTATCAAATTACACAACGGATATACAGTATGAAAATAAGATTGATTGGATTATACTCACAGGAAGTATAAAACCTGTTACATAAAGTAACACAAATGTCAGGGAAATTACTTTACTTAGATTTAAGTACTGCAGTTGTACATTTGAAATACCTTCCTACCTTTCTGATAGGAAGCCTTCTTGAGGTGGTATAAAA